TGAAACTAACATATTTCCACATTTCTTCTAATAAACTGAAGTGCATCTGGCACCACCCTCAGACTTTCTACAGAATTTACAAAACAAAGATAATATTAAAAATCAAAAGTAAAAGAAAAACGTTTGCGTTTCTAAAAGGCAATATCTTATGGATATTACCTTAGGAGAAAATAAAATGTTTGACTTAATACCGTCTGTAGTAAAATGACCACAGGGACAGGTCTAAATGGTTTATTAAGTAAGAAGGATTGAACCTATGAAAAATTGTTCTCTCCTAGAATATTTCTAACCCACACATGTGATTTATATCATGGCAGAATTCAACACAAAAGGTCTATTGTTTTTGGCAAAATAACCTGCAAACATGCTTAATTAGGATGCAAAGTGAAAGCACAGTTTAATACTGTTGACAGCCATGAACTTTAGACATCAATTTCTACTATTATTATTATTATTTTACTTATGGAAATATAGGAAAAGCAGTAAATATGGAACTAGAAGACAAAGTTATCAACGAGATGTAACATTTAAATCTTACCATTCTCATTTGTGTGTCAACATCACAAATAAAATGCTCTGAACACCCTACCTTGGAATGGAAATGAAAGAAATCGGTTTTGCAATCAAAGCTTACCTTCATTGATATTTGAAAAAGATGTCAGCATTTAAGTTAATCAATATCTATTTCTAGAAGGCTTTACTTTAAGAAGTGATGGCCTCTTTCTGGGGAGAAGGGATAATTCTTTATACTGACATTCCATTCCATTTACTGCAAGATGAAAATGAATGCCACCATTAAATGAATTCCATGGTCAGTTAATATTCAAAGCAAACTTTTCTATTGTAACCACTTAGTCACCATTCTATAGGAATATTTAGATTCTAAAAATAAGTCTGCAAGAATATAACACAGCACCAGTTTCAAACTGGTAATGCCCAGCTCTTCCAGGGTCATGTCTCATAATTCTTTGTTTCTATGGATCAGAGACTCAGGATGTGAAAAGGGAAGACCAGGTTCCAGGTCTGAATGAGGCAAAAGCAGAATCTGGTTACACTGTCTGGATATTGTAGCCAGTGCACTTATTTAAATTTTAGTAATCATTTTAAAGTGACAATTTATGTGTGACAAAAGACAAGGTAAGATGTAGGGTTAAAGCATTACATGGTATAGAAGAAAGAGTTCTGGCCTCTGGTTCTTTCCTTCCCACTGCTGTATACCTTCAGATAAATTATGTCAGTAACTTTCAGTTCTGGGCCTTTACTTCCTGTTTTTCTTTCCTTATCTGAAAATGACAGTTATTGTGAGAAGGATCAGGCAAAATCATGAAGTCTACAAAAATGGTTTTAATAGTACAAAATGGCACAGAAGGTCAGGATATTTCTGTGAAGCTTGAAAAATGTATCTACCAGAGATCACCAATCTGAAGAGTTAAAATTAAAAACTTCAGGGTGGGTATCTGACCTGAGGTATCTGAACTTACTGTTTCAAGTTCTTATTTTACCTCTGTAGACATAGTCTTAGAGTTGAGTAAAGTGTTAAAAAGTTAACTAGGTACTCTATTTTATAAGATTCTATTAAAATTTTCACGGATTTATTTCCTATTATAAAATTAATACATGCTTCTTGTAGAAGCTTCCAACAGCTCAGAATTCTGTAAAGAAAAAGTACTTTCCCTCCACTGCTCCCTGCTTTTTCCTGCTCTCCCCACGGCTCCACACAAACACACATGCATAGGATTCTCCATTTCCACTCCTCAGACATGATCATTATGGACAGTTTCTTGTAAAATTAAATACTCTGAAAATGGAAAACGTTGGTAGACAATATCAATTTTAAAAATGTTAAATTAAAGAAAAATCTAGAATTATCCCATGCCAGTCAGAATTGGTGAAATCTCAAATTCCCTTGGGGCAAGAGAATGACCAATTGCTGGGTGAGGGAATTGAAACAATAACCCTGTAAACAAACTGTCTGGAGTGTATGGCTAGAGCCAGCCTAGAGCAAAGATGGAAAAAAGCCTTCAAGGAACACCACCTCCTCCTCGTGGTTAACAACTTGATGACGTTCTTCAACATGTTTTAATGATTATCGTATCTTCCTCTTCACAAAGGACTGATTTATTATGGTTTAAATTTAGAGAATACTGGTTTCCCAGTTTTGAATCAGGCTTAGATTACAGAACACATAAGATCAATGACTTTCTTCTAGGCAAAACACCCCTGAAAGCAAAACCCACAACTAACCCCACAGCGTTCATTTAAGTGCAGAAGGAACAGTCCTGGGGAAAAGTTCTTCACACAGTTCTAGACGCTTACTGCTTCCACCACCCTCCGTCTCTACTCCTCTTCCCATACCTGTCATCAGCACCTCCACACTTAACACTTCCACGGCACCTTAAATGCACAAACAACTTCATGTATTATTTATCTTAATCCTCAAAACCATTTTGTCAGGTAGAAAGGATAATCTTAGCTTTTCAATTTACAGATTAAAAACACTGAAGCTCAGAGCAGTAAAGTGATTGGCCCATGATCATTCTCCACTAAAAGTATGTTCGCCCAGGTGTACTACTGCTGTCTAGATGTCTATCGCCATTTCAGAGCTCTCCTCTCAAGATCCCACGTGCAATCACTGATGCAACATCTGCACTTCAGTGTCCAAATGTGGTTAAACTCAGTTTTCCAGGCTCAGCCCATAATATTCTCCCCCAAACTTGTTCATTCTCAACGAATGGCACCATTATCCTTTCAGTTGTTCAAGCCCCAAACCTAGGCACCATCCCTCCCCACTACCCCTTTTATCAACATGCACGTAGACTCGATCACCACATCCTATAGACTTTGCCTTCTAAACTTTTCTCAAATCTGTCCACTTCCCCTTGTCTTCACCATGAACACTGTAGTCCAAGACCCCAGCATTGCACATAACAATCATTTCCATGTTACACTCTGTCTTTTGCACACCACCCCCATTCCACCCATTCTCCACGCTGCAGCCAGAGTGATCAGGTAATTTCTCTGCTTAAAATCTTTTGTTGGCTTCCCAGTGCTCTTCAGATAAACAGAAGAATCCTTAGTGTGGCCTATAAGGGCTAATATAATCTGACCCTTGTAAGCTGGCAAGATAAGTGAGCTCTTTCCATAATTTCAGAATACTATGATGTCTTTTAAGTAATAAATAAATATTTAAGCTTCTGTTTTTTTCATAATGCATAACATTTAAAACTTAAGTGTATTGATTAATTGTAGAATGAAGTTTGCATTCGTGGATTTTTTTAAGCATTAGTAACACAATCATATATAAATCTTATTGGTCCTTCTGAAATTCTTCTTTAAATATAACCAAGTTCATATTATTGTAATAACATATGCATTAAAATACATGCACAAATATATATAATAAAATATATATTATTTATATAACATTTGTAAATTATATCATTCACTTTATTGTGTGTAATTTCTATCTGCTGCAAGCCTTTGGATAGCTGGAGAAATAGAGGCATGGACATTTCTCCCACGTTGTATGAATCACTCATCTCAGAGTTTAAAAAACATCAGCTTCATGGCTGTGTGACTTGTGCAGTTGCCCAGAGCCTGCACTTAGAGGAGCCCCATGCTTGGTTTATTGCTCTACAGTTGCTGTCTTGAAATTCTTAATTTTTGCACATTTTCATTTCACCCAGGGCTCCAAAGATTATTAATCTGTTCCTGCTAAAAACATTTTTTTCATGTATGTAGAGCTGAACTCTCTCATGTCATCCACGACCAAAGTGTTTATTGTACTCTACTTCTGTATTTCAAGAACTCAACAGGAGAAGAGCTCTGAGGACCACCAGAGTCAGAATTGTCAGTCAGTGGGGGGATCTATATATTCTGTGGCCATTCATAGATTTCAGACCAACAAAACATGAGGTTATACTCAAAAAATGAGGTTTCTAAATAGAGTGAAACCTGGTTAACAATTTTGGCGAATGAGGCAATGTCAACAGATAGTTAATGGGGAACATGCCTTGGATTCAGCTGTTACTTGAGATAAGTACTGGCCTAGATTACAGGGGATAGCTGGAAAAAGGCAACTGTAACCCACATTACCTTATAGAATCAGGTGATAGCCATATTAGAAATATTTTTATTCTTTATAAAGTTCTTCAATACTTTTTTTTTTTTTTTTTTTTTTGGTACGAGGGCCTCTCACTGTTGTGGCCTCTCCCGTTGCGGAGCACAGGCTCCGGACGCGCCAGCTCAGCGGCCATGGCTCACGGGCCCAGCATGTGGGATCTTCCCGGACCGGGGCTCGAACCCATGTCCCCTGCATCGGCAGGCGGACTCTAAACCACTGCACCACCAGGGAAGCCCCAAAGATGCTCATTTTAAAACACATCATGTGTTACTTTTATCTTGTCAAAGTTGAAAGGCTGCTGACATCTGTAAGTTACCATTAAAAATTATTATTATTATTTTATATCAAAAGTGCATGATCCTAGAAGAGTTGATTTACTACTTACCCTAATTAACTTAGGTGAATTTAAAAATTACTATCTAGGTAAAATTTAAATTTTAGGCTGATAATTTTCCCTCATGAACTCAAAATTTATTTACACTATGAAAATTTCAACTTCCTTGAGAAAGTTATGCTTCTGAGATAAAAATTAAGTAATAACAGTTTCTAGAAATTCCTATTAGTGATAAATGTGAAGCATTCAGGTATAATGGTATATTCTTCAAGAAGATGAGTTTTGGTGTCAGACTTGGGTTCAAGGCTCTGCCTTGCTCTTTATTATGTGACTCTGAGCAATTTACTTGATCTTTCTGAGCCTTCGTTTCTGAATTCAAAATAGGGATCACAACACTCAATAAACAAGGCTGATGTGGGGATCAACTTAGCTAACAGACATAAGAGTTGAGCACAGTGACTTGGAAGGATAAATACTCTACAAATGCAGCTATCATCATTGATAGGATTTTTCCTCCAGGATTTTAATCTATTAAACAGTTACCTTATTGACAGGAATAATGTTTTTGACATTGTAGTAGAAGCCGAAATAAACCATGTTGAAAACTCCGTGACGTCCCAAAGTTGCTGTAAATCCTTTGTTGAGGCCCTGGAGTCCCAAGCCTTCCTTCTTAATGATGTGTCTTGCATAACTCATGGTGGATGGTTGCTGCACGAGAGAGGAGAAAGGTCATCTTTGGGACTGTGAAACAGAATAAATTACAGTTTTAACTTCCCTTCAAGCCCAAAATTATTAGGGACTTATTTTTCCCCAAAGATGAATAATCATGCCTAGATTCATGCTTTTTAAAATTAGGAAACCCCAAAAGTAAACAAAATTGCATGCATAACAACAGGCCTTAAAGGGAAGATTGTTGGCCAAGAAAAAATATCTTTGACGGAATTAGTGAAACTAATGTCATATAATAACTAACATCATTTTCGACATGTCAATAGGTGCATCCAATTCTGGATCATCCACACTAATAGAGGGGATTAACCATATAGATAAACTAGTAATCCATACTGGTAATCCATAACTGTGCATAATCCAAAAGGAATGTATTTTTGGCTCCTGAATATTTACCTTTCTAATTATGTTTTTCTAAAGTGAATGTTACAATTAGTCCTGATTCCATTCCCTCAATAGTTTAAACTGGCGTTAGGTTAGAAATCGGCTGTGGATAAATTAGCAGTTGATTGTAGACTTCCTCAAGAAAGTGGGCAATCAGTGTGTGTAACACTTGCTGTGATAAATGATAAATCAATGGTGTTGAGAGTACTGGGTTACCTTTAATTTACTTCTTTCCAGCCCTTTGATTGATTACCTAAGGTTGAAATACCTCGACTGCTGGAACCCAGTCAGTGCTACTTTTGGAACTTGCTAAAGAAATCACTGTAGTTTGCCCTGAGTTTTATAATTCATTACAGTACAATTACAACAATTCATGTGGGTTTTTAAATAAGGTTGAGTGACTGTTTCCTTTTTGGAGGTACAGCACAAAGGATCTCTCTCCCTCTTAAATTTTGAATACTGAATAGTAAATAAGGGGAAACGTTCAGCATTTAATTTTTTTCCCATAAGGCAAGCACTGAGATGACGCATATTTGAAATTTCACTGCAGCAGGTTGCTGGAGTGATCATGGCAGTCTGATGCACTCACTGACTAAAAGTGTTTTCGTATCATGTGCAATTAAGGCTGTGTCAGCAGAACAGAACAAATCCAATCAAGGCTCTTCATCCAACTTTGTAGCTATGTAATTAACCTGATACATTTAAATGAGTTTGTTTAGAGAGTAAACCCTATAGCTTTTACTGATAAATGTTTTAAAACTCTAGCTACAATTCTACACTCAAATTCATCTTTTTATTTAAGAGGATTAATTACAATAAATTACATTAATCTCAAGAAAACCCTTTTTTTGTGACATGAGAAAAACACATGAGAACGTACCTTAAAACAATAAAAGACATTTCATATCGGAAAACCAAAAATTCTCAGAAGGTTAAAGTTCACTCTCTCTGCTACAAAATGGGATTTTTTTGTTTGTGTTATGGCACATTGACTATCAACCCCAGTTATTTATTTTGGTTTTCAAAAGAGACTTGAGGACAAGTTGAGCAGAAGTTCATTTCTGTTGGAAAGACTCTGAAAGTGCTGAGCAAACTCCTAGGCACTGCTCTCTTGTTGTGAGGAAGGCAGCCTAGAGGGCAAAGGCAAGGAAAGGAGGCAGCTCTCCTGGGGATGAAAGAAACTAGGCAGAAGTGAGGCTGCCTGGGTCCAGACTGATCAACACCAGTCCTCCCTGCTTCTAGCCCAAGCTTCCTCTCCATCCTCACCCACTCTGAAGCCCCGAGGGCAGGAGAGATGGGGAGGTCAGAAGCCATCTAGATTCTTCAGCAACAGAGGAACCAATGACTTTGAATGAAAGTGCAGATTAACATGGCTTTCCCTAAATAAAACAGGTATAAAGATGTGTCTATCATTTAAAAATCTAGTGTGCTAAATCATCAAAATTTAAAGAGAGGACTTCTATTAGATCTTTTTTAAATTAATTTTTATTGGAGTACAGTTGATTTACAATGTCGTGTTAGTTTCTGCTGTACAGCAAAGTGAATCAGTTATACATATACATATATCCCCTCTTTTTTAGATTCTTTTCCCATATAGGTCACTACAGAGTATTGAGTAGAGTTCCCTGTGCTATACAGTAGGTTCTTATTATTTATCTATTTTATATATAGTAGTGTGTATACGTCAATCCAAATAGCATTTACTGATGGTCCATTGCCTGATTTCTACCAGCTTGGATGTCAGGTAGGTACGAAGAAATGTAACACATGGATTTTGACTCAAGTGCCTTGTTGAGTTTGAACTCAGCTGTGAATAATTAAGCAAATCAGGGGGTAGTACAGTAGTTAGAAATAGGGGGTCAGAGCCAGACAGTCCCAAGCTTTGAATCCCAGAAATATCACTTGCTAGCTTCAGCAGGTATTTTATCCTCTGATTTATCCTCACTTCATTCATCTGTAAAATAAGGATAATAATAGAATCTTCCTCATAGGATTGTTGTTGTGATGATAAATAAGTCAGTGAACTCGGCCCTATGTAAGCATTTACTATACATTAGCTGTTATTAATAATAATGGCAATTATGAAAATAATACAACTAGTTATAATAGTAAAATAACAGGTAATTTCTTTGGTAGTTGAAGGCAATGACAACCAAAAGGTGGAGGCTGATTTGAGGGGGAGGAAGGACATGAATAACTAGCCTCTTCCTGCTCACTCCTTTTGGCTGTGGTTTCCTTTTCTCAGAGCCCTGGACCCTTGTGACATGATCCTTCCTACAGAAATGCATCCAGAGTGCAAGATCATAGGTCTACTTTTTCTGGGAGCCACCCATACCCAACTCCTGGGCTAGAGATCTCCTAGGTCATCACCCCAGGGCTTTCCTCTCAGGAGCAGCAGATCCTGTAAAATGGTCTCTTCCCTACTGCTTGGTAAACATCCTCGGTAAGAACTCTTCACTTGACAGGTCTATGCACTGTAGAAGCAAGGCCGCCATGCGGGAGCAAAGGTTGGGAAAGGAAAAGCACACTAACCAGGCCTCCACCTGACACAGTTTATTTATACCTTAGAGAGTATATACATGCATGTTACCAGGTACCTGGAACACAGGAAGTGCTCATCAATGTTAGTCATTATCATAGATACTTGGTACTTTACATATATCATCTTACTTAATCCTCTGAACAAGTGTGTGGGATGGGTATTATCTTTATCCCCATTTGACAGATGAGGAAACTAAAGTTAAGTTACTTGCTCAATATCACAGAGTTAGTGGAAGGTCCAGAGCTCAAACTGAGGCCCCTCAGGCTCCAAGTTCATACTTTTATACTCTGCATGGTTCTGCCATCCTATCATATATGATTGCCTCTCTCAACAACCTGTAACGTGGACCGCAGGTATATTATCCTCATTTTACAGGTGAGGAAACCAAGGATTAAGTAATATTCCTAAGGGAAAAGTACTGGAAAATGGCTTAAGCAGAATTCTACATCTCATCCAGTGGTGCTCTCGTGCTTGTTGACTCATTCTTGTTATACACATGCTGTAAGATTTTCAGAGTTTGATAATCCAACTGATACAGGTAACAGATAAATACAAATATATTTTTCTGGCAGCTTGGGGCCTGGAGACCAAGAAAAACCTAAACTCTAATTCCCGTAAGAATTAGAGGTGTCCTCTTTGCTTCGTTCAGAGACACTGTATCGCACACATGTAAGCAAATATTTAATTAGAAAGGCAAAGCATGACTTCCACTAGGAAAATACAGAATCATTTTGACTAGATCTCTGTAAACACAAGTTTTACTAAACTTATTTGATTACTGGGCTTCCATTTCAAAGCGAAATGCTGACGGATTAGCATCATCAGGCACATGATTCCAATCCTATCCAACCCAGCAGGTCACCCACAAATTCAGTTTCCTTTCAATATTTAGATTCACTCCAATTTTCATATTTAGTTACCAGCGGTGGGCCAAATTGCATTCTAACTTTCCTAGATATACCTTTCATTGACTGCACCAGAGCTGCAAGCATGGAAGAATAAGTGGGTCGGAATGGAGCTAATATTGCGATATCACACTGCTCTCCACGTTGATTTAGAAAAATCTTCAGTTCACTGGTACCTGCCAGAAGTATTTCCATTTGGAAGGAACTCAAAGTCTACTTTAACTCTGATGTCAGCTATTGCCAATTGTTAATTCTGGGAACTCCATGCTCTTTTATGCATTAATTTATTCAACAAACACCTACTGAGCCCTACTAGGTGCCATGCACTGTGTTAACTATCTAGTACGGTACTTTGTTCATATTCGAGAAACATAAAAATATTTTTGCTTTGCTTTTTATTTGGAGAGATATACTGAAAAATTTTATATCTACCCATGAGAATATTCTATAATGATTATGAAACATGAAATCGAATTTCTGTAATTGATGAAGCCACTATGGAAAACAGTATGGACGTTCTTCAAAAAACTAAAAATAGAACTACCATATGACCCAGCAATTCTACTCCTGGGCATATATCCAAAACACATGAAAAAAAATTTAAAAGATACATGCACTCTAATGTTCATAGCAGCACTATTTATAATAGCCAAGATATGGAAGCAATCCGTGTCCATCAACAGACTAATGGATAAAGAAGATGTGGTATACAATGAGAAATCACCTCACGCCTGTCAGAATGGCTAACATCAAAAAAACCCCACAAATAACAAATGTTGGAGAGGATGTGGAGAAAAAGGAACACTCATAAACTGTTGGTGGGAATATAAATTGGTGCAGCCACTATGGAAAACAATATGGATGTTACTCAAAAAACTAAAAATTGAACTACCATATGACCTAGCAATTCCACAGCTGGGTATATATCTGAGAAAAACAAAAACACTAATTTGAACAGATACATGCACCCCATGTACTTAGCAGCATTACTTAGAATTGCCAAGATATGGAAGCAACCTAAGTGTCCATCAACAGATGAATGCATAAAGAAGATGTGGTGTATATACACAATGGAATAATACTCATCCATAAAAAAGAATGAAAACTGATATCACTTATATGTGAAATCTAAAAAACAAAGCAAAATA